GAGAGAGAGAGAGAGAGAGAGAGAGAGAGAGAGAGAGAGAGAGAGAGAGAGAGAGAGACGGAGCTCTTCTCTCCCTCACCTCGCACACAATGCAGGTGCACCGGGGCGACACGGAGAACAATGGCGACCCGTGCTTTAGTCGCTGCACGCCCACCCGGAGTCTGGAGCAGCAGGGGAGAGCGAGGGAGCAGCGAGCAGGAGGAGGAGCAGGTAAAAGAGGCGGCGTTAAGGAGAAGGGCGAAAAGGAAGGGTTTTTACAGCCACGGCGAGCACCGCCGGGCACCGCGCAGGCACCATTTCGCATAGAGCTAAACTTACGGCGGGAATGCGACATTAGACGGGAAAGTTGCAGTTTGGGCGCGGGGCGGGGCGCAGGCCGTCAACGGCGAGGCGAAGAAAGGAGAAACGAGCGCGAAAACGGGTGTGAACGGGGCCGAAGAGAGAGTGAGAGAGACCCACGGAGCGGGGCGGGGCGGGGCGTGGCCCGGATATGGTGATTGGGGCGATGGATGCCCCCCTCTCCCCCCTCCGCCCCCCTAGGTGTGCGCCAGTGCGCCATCAGGTGCGGGGTTTTGTTTGGGTTGTCAGCGCCACGCCGCGCCACGCCCCCCGCACTGAGGGGTATACAGCGCAGCCCAGCACCTTTCAGAAACACCTCACCTCTCTCCTCCTCCACGGCCCCATTCATGAAGTGTTGAGCTCAGCGTGCGCTGCGCTGCGCGGGCGGTAGGTGAAGCCTCGCCCCTCCTCTAAATGAGTTGTTTGGGACGGCCGGGTCGGGCGACGCGGCTATGGCGCTTACAGAAAGCAATGGGGTACGAAACTCTCCAACGCCGACCCTCCTCCTCCTCCTCCTCCCTCCCCCCTCCCCAATCCTAACCCCCATGCGTCCCTCATACACCGGCCAAGTGGCTGCGAAAGGGTCCAGAGCGAGGGGGAAATCACTAAGGTTCGTAGCGTACGGACTATTTCGTGGGATTTCTCAAGCCATTTCGGTTATTTCTCCTGCCATTTCGGCTATTTCTCGCCTATTTCGGATTATTTCAGGCTATTTCACATTTCGGTTATTTCTCCTGCCATTTCGGCTATTTCTCGCCTATTTCGGATTATTTCAGGCTATTTCACGCTATTTCGGAGTATTTCAGAGGTATTTCGCGACTATTTAACCGACTATTTCGCGTCTATTTCGTCTTTATTTCGCTCTATTTCGCCTTTATTTCGGACTATTTCGGGGGAAGGTGTACAAACTATTTCGCAAGTGATTTCCCCCTCGGTCCAGAGGAGGGAGGGGCGGGCGGCGGGCGCTGCAAGTGTGCCGTAAAAAGAGGGGCGGAGGCGCACGGGAGTGCCGGGCCATGCCATGCACAACAGGGGGCCCGTCAGGAGGTCTTATGGGAGGGCCCAACAGGACGCCAAACAGGGGCGCCGGCGGGAGGCTCCGGAAGTTCTACAACAGGAGGTCAAACAGGGGAGGTGTGTCAGGAAGCCCCAGCAGGAGCAAGTAGTAAGCAGGAGCAAGAGCAGGGCAGGGCAGGCGCAGGGTTATACGGACAGGAGAGAGCGGAGTGCGGAGAAGGGCCAAGCCTAGGGAAAGATCGGTTAAGAGCAGGGCGGCACTAGTAGGACAGTAGGCCTTGCAGCGTATGCTGGTGGCGTCGACCGCCCCATTGGTTCTCATTGGTTTGGGGGTTGGCGCTGGCCCTCGAGACCGCACAGAATGACCTAACATTCTGGCCCTCTAACCGGCCCCCCGGGCCTGAAGTGCGATTTTAATCTGTTTAAGCGTTATTTTATGCACCCAGAAGCGACGCGTTCGTGTACCTGTTTATTTTCGTAAATTTGTTTGTGTAACGGGCTCATTGAAACTTTGGGCGAGTAGGTCCATCAAGCAAGGGGCAGCGGAGGAAGGAGCGAAAGGAGAGAAGGGTAGGGAGGCGGGGGTCGCGCCATCGCATGTGGCAGAGGAAGGGGCGGATTGCATTATGCATTTTTGTCGAGTCAAAGAGGAGCCGTGGAGGTGGTCTTCGCGGCGCGCGCGAGGGCCTCGGCGAGAGCCCATAGCGGGGGCTGGGGCTGGGTGGGGCCGTGAGCCGCCGTGAGCGAGCGCCATAGTCTGGCACCTCCGGGGCCCCCAAACGCCAGCTGTGCCAAAGGGGTAGTAGAGATGTGGCGGCCGACTGCCTTGCGCTGCCTGCCTGCTGGTGCGCCAGCCGCCACGCCCAGCCACGCCCCGCCGAGACCTCTCCTCTCCGCGCCCCTGAGGGGCCCCCCTATGAGCCCCTTTACGGGCTTCCTCCCCGCTCCAGGAGGCGCGGGGGCCGCGCTCGCCTCAGCTAGTTGGTCTGGGAGAGGAGGGGCTCCTCCCGGGAGGCCGGCAGCGCCGCGCCGGCTCCACGGCACCGGAGGCTGTTAAGTGCATTCCGAGGTATTGCAGCCCTCATGGCGCGAGCCTCCTGCGGGACGGACGAGCAGCCGCAGCTGGGTATAGAACAGAGTACCCTGCCCAGCGGCAACCCTCGGCCAAGCAGCAGCAGCGGTCCTGCAGAAGCAGCAGCAGGAGCAGCAGCCCTCGGCCCAGCAGCCCTCGGCCCAGCAGCAGCCCTCGGCCAAGCAGCAGCAGCCCTTGGTCCTGCAGCAGCAGCAGCCCGCGGTCCAGCGCCACTGACTCGCCGTGCAATCATCGACCTGCGCGGCGGTCTCGGCGGACGCGGCGGCCTGGCGGAGCACGATCAGGTTGCTCCCGAGTGTCCCCCGCCCGCCCCGGCCAGGGCCACGCCACTCGCTCACCGGCCACACAGGGGAGGGTAAGTGCTGGCCCTGGTGGTGCTAGGCAGCCCCCCACCCCCCGGGAGCTCTCTCGCGGGGCCGCTTAAGGGGGCACATGTTTGCCGTGCTGATCGAACGTACACTCTGACAGTGACGGCGCGCTCCTACCCCCGCCCCCCACCCCTCC